GCCTGAGCACAGACCCTCGGGCCCCACACCGGGCCCCACGGCCTGAGCACAGACCCTGCGCAGGGCACGAGGCCAGCGGGCAGCAGCCCGGCGATGCCCTCCCTTCGGCCCCGCTTGGCCGCCTCGAGGGCCACCGAGCTGGGCAGGAAGGAGCAGAGGGCGGCGGGTGGCACAGGCCGCCGCTCCTGCCTGCCCCAGGAGCGATGGCAGAGGGGACACGATCCCGTTCCTGCCTGGCTTCCCGTCCTTCCCCTGCCGGGCCGCGTTGGCRACGCTCGGGCCGGGCTCGGAGGGCTCTGAGATCCTCTGCAGGATTAATTGCTCATTGTCCGAGCTAGGGGCTTCCATCGGCTTCCTGAGGAGGCTGCTCCGTAACCTCCCGCATCTCGCCCTTGGTAAATGCTTCCCGCTGTTCTCATCTGGCTTTGATACAGCTCTCATCGCTGTGGTATCTGAACATCTTCCAGCAGCACGTTAGGGAACATGACTAACATCTGGCACGCACGCGGCCCTCTTTCCTTTTTCCTCTCCCCAAAGCCGAACGCTCCCAGCGCAGTCTCACCATTGTTTTTCTGCTCTATTTGCAGGAGTGGAGGGCGGCATCCTGTCCCTGGAGGGAGGAGAGGTCTGTGGCGTGGGGATCCTGCAGGGCTGCACAGGCTGGAACCAGCCCCTGTTTGTTTGTTGGCCCCCTGGAATGAGATCCACGTTCCCAAGTTAGGTACTGGGACCAGGGAGTCAGGCGCTAAGGCTGGGATCTAGGAGATCCAACATGCCGTGCAAAAAGCTATGTAGTAGAAAACGGGAGAAAAGGGGACAGATGTGAGTGTCTCCATCTCCACCTCCAGTCAGGTGTGTTAGCCAGGGACGTTTGGGAGAACACAGGGAATCATTAAACACCTTATTTTGGGCTCCTGTGCTGGGTCCTACAGAGCCGTCTCATCTAGCCACTGCTCCTCAAGAGTGTTTGGCCAGAAAGCTTTCTCTTCATGAAGCCCAATGGGAYTGAAACTTGCCTTTCTCATAAAAAGTCAATCTGGGGATTGACTTGGCCATATGTGAGAGGAGAAACTTACTTTTTTTGGTAGGTATGATCTGACATTAAAGAGTGACCAATGCAATGGTGTTTGTAGGGGTCCACTGACAGAAGTCACAGCATCAATCCCTGCTCTAAAGATTGTCTTTTTATTGAGTATAAATACAAGAAGGCTTCTGGGAGCAGGACCATGCAGAAGGGTTTTATGCTTCCAGATGAGTTCTGCTGCAGGCTGCAAAACTGAGCTCCTCTTTTTCCAGCTCAAAGAAGGTTGAAATCTTAGAGCACAGAGGCCTGCGTTGAGGAGATGGGGAAATGCTCTCAGCAAGTGCTGATTCCTAGCCGGTGGTCAGGGTACTGTGGTGGGAAAAACAGGTTTGAACTCCCTCAGGTTCAGTTTAGGATGCCAAACTAGAGCTTAAAAAAGAAGCTGAAAACTTGACTTTTTTTTTCCCCTTGCTCAGTCCTTGAAGGAGGATGAGGCCTGGGAGAGACTAATACAAGCAGGAACTGCAAACATTGTTCAGACTGAACTCAAGTTTAACTTCAGATAAAAAGACAGAAATACAACCTGATTTCTGGATCCTGTTCAGTATTCCTAGGGGCATAAGCCATGGCAGCAGAGGATGTTGAAACATCAGATAGTGAAGTGCACATGGGACATAGGTAACTCCAGGGACAGGCAGCAGGCCAGCGAGGGCTTTGAAGATCAGGACATTTGGAACTGCAGGCCGTACCTCACAGGAAACCCTGCAAGAAGTGGAGGAAGAGCGTGATAGGATCTTAGGAAGCCATGACATTGAGAAGATGGATTGCCACAAGAGCTGTCTTGAGTGTTTAGTATGATGATTATACAAGAAGAAAAAAAAATACTCTATTTAAAAAATTACTTTCTTTGATATTTTGTTTTCACTKAGGCAAAGGCATTTCCACTAAAGCACAACAAATGCTGAGCTTATTGCTATCRATCCCAAATTGACAGACATTTTCCTTTTCTCAAAACTTTTTAAAAATTGATTATATATTCCCGTCTCCCATGAAATCTCTCTGTTCTCTATTCCATGTCCATTCCTTGTTCTCTTTCATTCTGCATGGCCCCAGGGCTGTAGAAAGTGAAAAACCCATTCTCCTTTGAGATACATCGCACATTTGAAAGGTCTGCACAGCCTCCTCACCCAGGGCCCAAAGTTGTGGGGTAAATCACTGGAAAGGATACTGCACAGAAAGGCAAGGAAGCGCTGTGGCATCAGCCACCTTGTTGCATCCACAACCCTGTGAAGCCACAAAACACCCACTGTGGTTCCCCCGTTCCAACCAGCATGGCCAGAGCTGCCGCAGGGAACGTCCCTGGTGAAGCACCGTGGCCGTGTCTGGGCGGACAGAGGTGCCAGAGCCACCCTCCTGCTCCGGCCGGCCGCTCAGGCCACTGCTGCTCGCCCTGCGTCCCTCCAGCTTCAGCCGGTGCCAGGCACCGAGTCGAGCCGAGCTGAGCCCATCCTTCCGCCCGGCTCCTCCTGGCTCCGTTCCACAAGGGCCAGCGGAGCCAGGCGGAGCAGCCGCGCCGGGCAGCGTGCGCTCTGGGCGCAGTCCCCTCGGGAAGCTGCTCTGAGGGATGCAAGCAGAAGCGACGATGTAGTCGCATATTCRGAACAGCACATAACTGCTCGAGGGCTTCAGGTGGTGTGTGCACTAAAAGGCTCTGATCTCAGCATGCCAGTGACAGATTAAAAACAGGCTAAACCACAGAATGGTTGAGGTTGGAAGGGACCTCTAGAGATCATCTAGTCCAACCTTCATGGTCCAGCATGGACACCTAGAGCACGTGGCACAGGGTGGYATCCAAGCAGGTTCCCTCCAACATGTAGTGATTGATCTGCTGTTTGCATTTATCTTTTACAGAATGCGTGCAAAGATTTAGGCTTTGGGGTAACAAGCAATTGATGGAGAGGTGCTGTCTACAGTTATATTCTGGTCYGTTGGAGGTCAACATAAACAGCCATAAAAAGGACCATGGTCTTTAAAGCGTGTCACACAGCTCCCATGGGCTGCTGTAGTGCAGGGCATTTCAGTTCTCTGGCAATCTGGAAATCTCTACTGCTGCCTCAACCCCTTTAAACCTGGAGGTATTGAGTTCGCCATATGCATGAGCAGCAGCAGGCAGAAGGCCAACRGGAGC